TTTATGTACTTCTGGGTCAGTGGTTCCTAACTGTTTCGAACTTATTATTTATTGACAATTTCAAGAGAGGAATTGAAGTATAAGACAAGAGGAAATCCTAACAATGACTGAATGAAAAACACAGTGCCTGCAGTGGGAAAGTATTGTCTGCCATCTCTCTTACAACACAACTACCTATCATTGTCTCCTTCTCCAGCACCTTTATTTATCAATAGAGCTAAGCGATTTGGAGGCTGCTTTTCCTGAGGGTTAGGAAGCCATTTAGCTTACACGGTGGCTGGCTACCTTGCGGGGGAGGAGGGTGGAAGCTCTTTTTTGCACAATCTTTTTGTGCCAAACAATGCAGATGTGGGTCAGCCGAATCCACTACAGGTTCCTTGGACTGTGACAGGTCCCAAATGAGGGAATTTGCCGGACCGGGGGAGGTTGCCTGCCACCAGCTCCCCAATCCGCCACCCCTCAGTGCTCCTGGCTCCTCTACTGCTCCAGTCAGCTCCCCTGGCCTCTGGCCACTGCTACCACCGGCCCCAGCGGGGCTGCCAGCCTCAGTGCCGCCAGCCCCTGGCCCTAGCCAGGCTACTGGTTTTGCTGCCTCTGACTCCCACCTGGCTAGGTTGCCAGCCCCATTGCTGACCCTGCTGCTGGTGGCCCCAGACTGGGGAGCCCTGGCTGGGTTGCCGCGGGCTCCGGGCCTGGCCCCGTACTGATGCAGGCTGTCAGGCTTTCCAGACCCATGCTGCCCCGAGCTGCCGGCTCTGACCCCCCACTGCCAGCCTACCTGCCAGTAGGGTCCCCGGGCTCCCTGGTCCAGGAACAGCCATGCTCCTACTCAGACCAGAGAGTGCCTGCTTTGTGGGGTGCAACCTGCAGCAAAGTCAGGTCGATTTCAGTGAAATTCTGTGGTAAAAAATATGGCATTGGAAACACTGAACTATTTCATTGCCTCAGTTGTTCAAATCAGTGGGGCTGAAAGGTGCTGGGGACCCTACAGATGGCACTCGGGGCCCGGACCCCAGCCATTGTGTAGCTGGGTTTTCCACAGACACCCCCACAAAGCCAGGCTGTGGTAGGAGCAGGTTTAAAAATGCTGGAGGGAAAAGTGCCTGTTTCTAATGACAGTTCTAGGGATCCACACCAGCGCTGGTTGCAGGTGGCACCTCTGACTTGCTTGTCCTGCCATGACTTCATCTGCCTCGGAAGAATAAGTCATTCAGAGGGCAGGTAAATCCAGTGTTCATAGTCAGAACAGGCAGGGACGCTGAATGATCAGGCCAAGGCGTACCAGTCCAAGGCAGAAATAAACAGGCGATGTAACGGGAAGGAAACCTTAGTTATGATGTTTATTACAGGTGACCCCCGCACTTACGACCTAATTGGTTCCTGGAGAACCGTCGTAATTCAAGCCATTGTAAGTCAAACCCTTCTTTCCCATAGGCGCAATGGTATAAATGGTGATCCTGGATACCCATTTCATACCTGAAAAAATACCAAAATTGATGACAGAAATGGAGGAAAACTAAACAAAGTAGTTCACATAATGCACAAAAGTAACTAAAAAGTGAAGACCGAGAGGCAGAGGCGTGTAGTTCAAGCAGCAGCTGCAGACGGGCGAGTCTGACTGACCTTGTGTGTTTCCTGTTCTGGGATGACGTGTGGAGTCTGCGTCGTACACCGTTGTAAATGCGAGCTGCGGGCGTAAATTGGGGGTTTTAGGAGCTATCGCGCATGAAAAAATGGTTGTAAATGGGGGGGAGGCGTAAGTCAGGCAGTCGTAAATTGGGGGTTACCCGTATATAATAGGAATACCTAACACTAGCGCAAAGCTTTTCATTGTGCGGAGCTGGTTACTTCACAGGTGGGAACACATCATTTTACAGGTGCCGACTCTGCAGTACTAAGATTGCCTCACTTAACCTGGGCCGTAGAGTCAGCACCCACATCTTGTGACTCCCAGTCCTCCGCTTGTCCTCTCCAACTCATCTCTGTTTTCTTGCTTCCACTTTTCAGCTCTGGGCACAGAAGCACAGCTTTAAAAGGGGGGGAGAACATAAATCCTCATCAAAATGTAAAACCCAAGCAATATGAAAAGGAGGGGAGGAGTGGAGGTGTTCTTCTAAAATGCACAATACAGGAGGCATGTAACAACAATGAAATACAGGTGCTGCATCATGTGGTTTCCACTTGCTGACTTCCGTATATACACTGTCACTCCCTATAGAATAGCCACCAATTTGCAACAGCCAATGTCTTTTTGTATAAACACTAGCTAGGCCTGTTACAAATGTTTATTTGTGCAAACGTGTAACCGCTGACTTTTTTAGCACTTACACATTTACACGCAGGGGGGCAGGTGAGCACGGGAGGGTAAATGGTTCCGCGGGAGCCGGTATGTGCAGGGAGCTGGCTTGCGAGCTGGCTCCCGCTGAACACAGGCTCCCGCTATGCTGCTGCTTCTGTGGGAGGCAGCCGGGGGAGTGACAGTGCCCCATGGGCACTGGCTTCTGCCTGATACAGAGGCAGCAAAGGGAGCGGGTGCACATGTAACCATTAGGATTAACCGATAAGCCCAGCCTTATTGCGTAAACGGGGACACAAATCACTGTGGCATTGACAAAGTGATGCTCAGGTCCAGATCCAAAGCCCATTGAAATCCCTGGGGGGCTTTCCATTACCTTCCATGAACTTTGAATCAGGGCCCCGAGTCCTCCAGTGACAGCATAACTCCATAGCATAGACTTAGCCTGAGCCATATTTTCCTGTCAGTGTCGGGACACCACCTTCACAAGCAACAGCAGCTATGTTGGCAGCCTGGGACAAGGCATCGGCCCTGCGAGGGTTAAAACCCAGCCCTGGGAGAGGGCTGGAGCTGTTGAACCAGCAGCTGAGGCAGGTATTGGCCAATTAGGGCCCAGCTGAGGGCAGTATAAATAAAGGCTCCTGGAGGGGCAGAAGCTGTCACTCCCTTTTGCTCCAGCTGGGGAGCAGGAAGGATTTAGCTGCCAGGGAAGCTAGAGGCTTCCTGGTCCAGTGCAGTACTGGGGAAGCTCTGGCCAGGCACGCTTGCAGGGTGTGAAGCAAGTCTTGAAGGCACTAGAGAGGCAGCCAGGGTGGTAGATGGCAGCAGGTCCACACCCCCTGCCTATGAAGAGTGTCCATGTCAGATGGCAGTTTGCCTCTGAGGTAAGGGGATAGATGACAACTGGCAACCAGGGCTGGCCTTACCATGAGGCGGACTGAGCCAGCCACCTCAGGTGCCAGAGTTGGGGGAGGGGGGATGCCACTAGGACCCAGAATGTAGAAAATTGTGTCTGTGTAACCCACACACCTACTGCGTCTAGACTGGCAAGATTTTCCAAAAAAGCGGCCACTTTTGCAGAAAAACTTGCCAGCTGTCTACACTGGCCGCTTGATTTTGCACAAAAGCACTGACATTCTACTGTCCGAAATCAGTGCTTCCTGCGCAAATGCTTTGATGTTCCTGTTCGGGCAAAAGCCCTTTTCCAGAAATATTTTTGCGCAAGAGGGCCAGTGTAGACAGCTAAAAACTGTTTTGCGCAAAAAAGCCCCGATGGCGAAAATGGCGATCGGGGCTTTCTTGCGCAAAACTGCGTCTTGATTGGCATGGACGCTTTTCCACAAAAAGTGCTTTTGCGGAAAAACGTCCATGCCAATCTAGACGCTCTTTGCCGCAAATGCTTTTAACGGAAAAACTTTTCCGTTAAAAGTATTTGCGGAAAATTATGCCAGTCTAGACGTAGCCCTAGTGTGGTTACCATGCAGTGGCACCTAGACCACAGCAACAGTTAAGACCAAGAGATCTCTACAGCATGGGCTGGGAGTCAGCTGGCTTTTAGCACAGAGGGTAGAGGCTCCTATACCCGGCTTCAGAGGTCCCAGGTTCCAATCCACCTGGTGGCAGTTACGTCTGATGCGTATGTATTCTCTCTGCTCTAGATGCACAGAGATGGCGGAGTGCCATGAGAGGAGTAGAACAGGAAGGAGGCAGAATTGAGACCTTTCAAAGCTTTGGCCCAGCGAGGGGGCATCATCTGGCACCCGCCTCAGGTGTTAAAATGTTGTGGGTCAGCCCTGCTGGCAATGGGTTACTGAGGCAAGGCACATATAGGAGCTTGGGGGTTCTGTGAGGGGCAGGACCTCAGAGTGTGAGGGCACCGTGGCAGAGCAGTACTCAGAGGGGAGGATGCCACAGTCTGGGAGGGACGCAAGGTGGCAGAATCGATAAAAGGTAACAGCAGGTGAGACACTGGCCAAAAGGGGGCGCTCCAGGGCTGATATGAGCTAATTCCTGAGTGTCCAGCAGGAGGCACCGCTGCAGTGAGTCGCACCATGTTACACAGACCCATTCCTCTTCACGGACACAGCTGCATCTACACCCTGGGGGGTAGATCTGTGGAGTTCTATCAGTCTGGTGTATGAATTCTTTTTCATACTTCTGACCAAGGTCCAGTGATTAATGTGTGCCTGGCACTTTAGGCTTAGCCGTTCAAAGCCCTGGCACCTATGGGCTTGCTGCTTCAGTTATGAATGTAAAAAAAAATTGCTTGTATTCCGGCACCTCTTCATTGCAAATTAAGCATTCCCAAGGATAGGATTGGCCGTACGCATCGATTACGCATGTTTAGTGATCTCACTGAAAATGTAACTCTGTATCAGGTGTACAGGCTCAGGACTTAAAACACCTGAAGGAAATGCCCTCTATTCAGTTTCCGATATAGCAAAAAGAAGAAGCCCCCAGAAAAAGGATTCCATTTGTTGTATCCTATTTTTAAAACATAATTGCTTTCACTGAATCAACGGGCCACTAACTCTGCTAGGAAATTGATATTATATCGACAGCATCCCTGCCAAAGCAGCAATGTGGCGTAATAAATGTTTACGTTCCATCGAGTCTGAACATGCTCAGTGGCTTCTGTGTGACAGAATCTGCCTCTAATTGCAATTTGTCTAAATGTTTTCCATTCCTTTTTCTCCTTTCCTAGCTTTGCTCACCGACAAACCTCCAAAGCCACTGTTCCCTGTGGAGAACCAGCCCAGTATTATAGATGTCCAGCTGGGTAAGTCCCCTTCTCGGAATAAAAGAGCCTATCAGTTCGGTTAACAGACGGGGGAAATGGAAAGGTTTATTGCCACTGTTATTACATGCAAATCAATTTGCTACTTCTCATTTATAACGGTAGAATTTACTGCAACAGCAGTTTAAGGAAATGAGTTTGTGTAGCTTCAAGGAATGGCAACACTAATTGGCTACCCTGAGTATTAAATATGCAGGGTTGCCGCTCTCTTAAGTGTGTGATTGATAGATTAACAGATGCCTTCATTGGGGCCTGCACAGATCAGCCCATGTTCACCGTGCATGGGACACAAATATGTTAATAAAAACCAGGATTGTAATTCTTTAAAAGATAAGGGGAAAGGATGCATGGTAAAGTGGTCCTGCAGGTTTATCGAACAGGTTCTTTGACGACAATATCTGTGAGTGTCTTATGCTTTCTCCTGCCAGCGTGAGTGTGTCTGACTCGGAATCAGCCACACACACTTGTTCTGACTTTTACAAGAGAGTCACCTTTTGGAGAGACATTAGCTGTGGGATCTCATTGCTGTTACTCATAATGGGATTTGGAGGTTCAGGTGGAAGTCCTGTCAGGTTAGAAGCCTTGCTAATGTTGAGGCATGGAATTGCAAATACTGTTGAGCTCTGGAGTATGTGGGTTTAAGTTACCCCCCAAAAAAAAGCATTTGTTGTGACGGATCGTTAGCCTTCTCATGCTTAAGGTGAGTTGCTTTCTGTCTCTGTTAGCCTATCTCTACTCTGGCTTTAGGTTTACACTGGAATAAGACTGCTGAATCATGATTTACACAATTCCAAAAGAAAGTCGGGTCATGGTTTGAGGTTGTAAGATTGTGTTGCAGTGGCATGAGTGTGATAGGGCCATAACTTTTTAATGCAAACCTACTGTATAGTTCCCACTTCCGTAAAAATCATTTCAAGTTTGTGCCTCAGTGAGTCCCTTTTCCACAAAGCACTGAAACGTGAGTTTGTCCCACTGAATGGAACTTCAGTCCTGGAACTGGATTAGCTGTGGACAACGAGGTGAATTGTGTGTGACTTGAGTTTACCTCCAAAATCATCTTTTGACACTTTGTAAGGATTGCAGGAGAGCAGGCAACAGCAAAATCTGCCTAAAATACCCTTGGCCGAATCATACCCTCAGATACGGACTCTCCAATTACCTTCAGTTGTATTAGTGTGCATGCATCTTTTGATAGAATTTGAGCTGTAGTGATTAAAACACACACATGCATGCACACATCTCATGTTCAAAGGGCATCATGCAAAGATCACTGTAATTTCTGTCAAAACGCCCACTGACATGGGCTTTGGATTATCCCAGCAAGCTGCATGTCAATTCAGTTCCATTAATTATGCTCATGGATTTTACTTTTTCTTGGGGGAGGGGGAAATCAGAGTTAATGAATCCATTCAAGTTCATGAAATGTCCCTCAAGTATATCAGTGAAACAAACGAATGCAAAACATGCAGCTCGTTGTTTCCTATACTCTTGTCGGATCTTCTTCTCCAACATCAATTATCCCCACCTCTTACATATCCAGTCTCTGCAGAATATTTATTTGACGGGTCCCTCGTACAAAAGTTTTTTTCTATTAGTAAAAAGTGTTGATATAAATAGAGCTCCTGCCCCTGGGAGATGTTGCAGTAATAGGATTTCAGAATATCTCAAGAGGAAAATAAAAGTCCTGGCTTTTTTCGTCCCCCTAGTAAAATCCATTAGTTGTCCCCTAGGATCCTGACACAGGGATAGTTGGGTTATTGTTTCTAATCTTTCATAATAGGCTGAAAGATGAATGTTTACAAAATAACACCACCCTCAATATAGTCCAAAAGCACAGAATGGAGTTGCTTCCGCAGTTCCCACCTTGATTTAAAAAGTAAGGAGCGAATTTTCCATGAGGAATCCAAAGCCTCAGAACCTACATCTGCCAACACGTACACCCTTATGTCTAAACTACATTGGTTTTTTGAAAAAAAACTGCCCTTTTTTCGAAAAAAATTCACCTGCGTCCACACTGCAATTGCATTCTTTCGAAATTAAATCAAAAGAACACGAGGGGGTTTCGACATTGGTAAACCTCAAATTATGAGGAAGAACACCTTTTTATCAAAAGAGCTCTTTCGAAAAAAGGCATGTGTGGATGCAGAACAGGGACATATTTTTCTAAAGAAGAGGCAATCGGAAAAAGCAATCGGAAAAAGCCATTCTGTGAATAGCAATCAAGGCTTTCTTTCGGGAGAGCGTCCATGCACTCTGGCCACTCTCTTTCGAAAAAGCAGATCACTTATTCAATCCGGTTTTAAGGTGTGGATGCTCTCTTTCCAAAGAAGCTTGCAGTCTAGATGTACCCTTGGTGTGGAAGGGTTTGTTGATCTTCTGAGCACAGCACATTTTTCTCTATATCAAGGAGCTTGAGGGGGGCACGACTTAAAGAGTTCTGGTGAGAACCGTGGATAGGATAGAGTTAGCTGCTGGTTTTCATTTGATTATTTGCCTGTCTTAAAAATGTTGCCTGTGGGTACCAACAGTGTTTGTTCCTAATAGATCTTTTTAGTCTAAGTCAATGTAAATATTCAATATCATCTTGATTTTACATGTCAGATTAACTTATTCACCTAACTTGGCTCTGCCCAGTAAATAGTCAGGCAAGTATGAAAACGCTGCTGCACACCAAAGAAACTACATTTGCTCCTTTAACACAATAGAAAGACCAATTTCGCTTTCCATTGTGAAACCAATCTTCAGTTGTCTTCTCTCTGCAGGCGTGGGAAGCTAGCAGTTATTTATTTCCTAGCTCCTTAACGAAGCAGTATCTGCACAAGATTTTTAAGAGCAATTATTGGCCTGACCACTTATAGTATCTTATATGACCTAATTGCAGACTTCAGTAGTCACTTCTGAGCTTTCTCTGCTAGGAGAAGATTCAAATGAAAGCGGGTTTGCACAGTTCTTATTAACAATGGATAAACGAGTTACTTCAGGCTCCACATAAGCCCCAAAGGATGTTGTGTTCTTCTTACACTGTGAATAAGGGTAGGTTTTTTTTTCTTTTTCCATTCTTTGGAACTTGACAAAGATCAAAACAGCTCTGTCAAGTTCAGATGGTAGCAAAAACTGCACACTGCTACCCGTTTGTTTTCTGTTTGCCCGTGCTGGAGAGTGAACACAAAAGACAGACATGACAAGAGGACCAGAGAGTATCACATAGGACAAGTATGATAATTCAAAACCGTTTAATTACGTGAGACACATTGCTAAACCAGATCATAATTTCAGCCCTGAACAAAACTAGAAGTACAATAGATTGATTTAATTGCTTGCTTTTCTAGCTCATTTTGTCCTGAATTTTGTATTTTAAACTTCATAAGCCTTGTGGATTTTGGAAGAACTGGTGAATCACAATCTGGTTAAAGAATATGTAGCCGACTTTACCCAACATTGACATTATTTTTTAAATATTCAGATATATGAGTTTCCTCTAACAGTCCCGTCCGGTTCCTTGTGAGGTTCAAGGATTTTTAATCCATTAAAGCTAAATCTTATAACTGGCAGAATATTTGTTGAAGGTTTTTGAACAAATATATATTCATCCATATGTCAAATGACTAGCCATGCAATCTATTGAATCTGGCCATATTTTCCTGTATAGTCATGTGGCTTCTACAGATGACTATTAGTTAAGGTTCTTTTCCTGCTCTACCAGTGACTTGATCATGTGCTCGGTCAATTGACATAACTCCTGTCAGACAAAATTTTCTCACCTGGAAAATGTGGTAATACCTCTCAGAGGGGTCTGAGAATGAACTTTCTAAAGTTCAGAACATGCTTTAAGATTCTTGCTTTCTTTACTTGACATTTGCTTCTACAGCAAAACATGGCGGCTGCTTTTTTAACCTAAGTTGCCCACTCCTTATCCCAGAGGTGACAGAATTCCTAGTGCGTGGTGGTTTTTAAATCCGAACAATGAGACGAGTACACCTCACCGCGTCAGCTTCTGATTCAATGCATTTTAAAGCTCTGAGTGTGACTGTTCAGACCGTCAAAATAAAATGCCACCTCTTTTGGAAGCAGGCAACGAGAGATTTGCAGTTTTCCGAATGTGTGATGCTGGTGATGGGCAGTGAAACATGCTGTGCTGCCTGTCATATGACAAGCTGTTGGTGCATTACGTTGCTAATTTTATTTTAAAATTACCTCTCCCTCCCCCTTCTGATGGAACGTTGTTTACTGGATCAACATGCTGAGAACGGGAATGTGAAGATTGTCCTCACTGCGTCAGTTCTAGGCAGCCAGATTACTTGGCAACAGGAGCTGGTTCAGGCAAGGGAACCTTTGCGGTGTGAAGAGCCATGATCTATCTGCCTGTAGCAAAACAGTCAAGGATTCCCCCAATACCGTTCTCAAGTGTAAAACTGTCCTAGTAGGCGCCTATGTACACCCGGGTGTAGTAGGCATATCAGGGGTGTGTTCAGAGGAGTGAAGCACAGGGGTGCTCTACATCTCAGCTCAGTAATGCCACACTAGCCGGGTTCTAACAGAACAGCTCCTACACTCCCCTCAATAATGCAGGGGCTCCAGCTGGCCATTAAAGCGGAGTGAACAATTGATTTTTCTGGTTCAGACAGCAAATGGCAAAATCCAGACAAATATTCACATCGGTGAATGCTTTGGAATTTCTCAGCAATGTCTGCTTTGGACCAGCCAACCGTGGGTGCATGGCCCTGGCTTCATAACCTTTCACCTACAGGTGAGGTCTGTGTGTGTCCAACTCCTGCTTTCTAGTCCTTTTCCAGTGCTCAGAGATCTTGCTGAACAGGGACTGGAATCTATCTCTCCCACCCCCCCTTCCAGGTGGGCATCCTCATCTGCAGGGTATAGGCCATTCTTGGATAGGCTGCTCTCAATGGGTGTGTCTACACTACAGCACTATTTCGAATTAACTTAAGCTAATTCAAAATAACACATCTATACACAAACTATTT